CAATTACATGGCAATTTCCCAGCTATTCCGGGAACTGCTTTTTGGAAATTGCCATCAGAGCCTGAACATAATTTTTAAATGTCCTCAATTGTGAGAAATCTCCAGATTTGATTTTTTTTTTTTGAAACAGCTAAGAGTTATTTGGAGCTAAGTCCAGTGAATTAGTCTGATGATTAAGCTTACCAGTACTATTCTGGGGCCACTGTGATGTATGATTAAGCCTTAATAAGAGCGTGGTCAGGATAAGGCATGCTAGGGTTAGGCACCAGGCCAAAGAGGAGGAGAAAAGAGACGGTACCAAGTAGAATCCTGCTTAGTATGGGTTTAGGCTATACTTACCTAGTTCCAAAATGCCCAAGATGTCAAGGCAAAGCATAACTGAACATGGTTCAGAAGGGATTTATAACATGAGCAGGGATTTGCAGAATGAACCAGAATGCTGGAGTTCGTTCCAGCTACGCTGAGAGCTGGGAGAGCTCTCATGTTTAGGCAACTCTGCAAGCCTTGACCAGGGGCATGGACAGCAAAGCCAAACTCCTAGAGAAGAAGATTTGCAAGAAGTATGCACAGATCATAATTGAGGTCGGAGCATGAAGTAGGTTGGCCATATAGATGAAAGTGCCAATCCAGGCAGAAGGTTTGCGTTCAGAGTGAACATAAAACTCCTTACCAAGTTCTTCACTGCCCAAGTGATGTGTTTTCTGGCTTCCTCTCCATCTTCATCTCCCCACCGACTCTCTCCCTTGTTTTCTGAACTTTAACCGGAAAATCCAACCAATGGTTTTCTTTCTGTTTCTTGAGATGCACATCTAGTTCATTTCTGTCCCAGGGCTGTTTGCCCTTGCTGTCCTGCCTGGGATACTCTTATGTTAGATTGGTAGATTTTCACTTGTCTGGCTCTTTTTCATGTCTCATCTCAGCTGTTAGTTTCTCACCAAGGCCTTCCTGCACCATTGAGACCAAAATAGTTTCTCCCCACCCCTAGGTACTCAAAACCCAATACTCTGTTGTTGTTTTGTTTTGTTTTGTTTTGTTTTTTGTTTGTTTTTCTTGAGACGGAGTTTCGCCGTTGTTTCCCAGGCTGGAGTGCAGTGATGCGATCTTGGCTCACCACAACCTCTGCCTCCCAGGTTCAAGCAATTATCCTGCCTCAGCCTCCTGAGTAGCTGGGATTACAGGCGTGCGTGACCACATCGGGCTAATTTTGTATTAATTTAGAGACAAGGTTTCTTCATGTCGGTCAGGCTGCTCTTGAACTCCCAACCTCAGGTGATCCCCCCTTTCTTGGCCACTCGAAGTGCTAGGATTGTAGGCAGGAGCCACCGTGCCTGGCCGATACCCAGTTTTTTATCCTTTGTAGCATACCCAGACTTGCACTGTTATTTGTGAACTTCTTTATTTATTTTTTGTTTTGTTTTGTTTTTGTTTTTGTTTTGAGACGAAACAAAACTTGCTGTCGCCCAGGCTGGAGGGCAGTGGTGCAATTTTGGCTCACTGCAAGCTCTGCCTCCCGGGTTCACATCATTCTCCTGCCTAAGCCTCCTGAGTAGCTGGGATTACAGGCACACGCCACCACAACCGGCTAATTTTTTGTATTTTTAGTAGAGATGGCGTTTCACTATGTTGGCCAGGTTGGTCTTGATCTCCTGACCTTGTGATCCTCCCACCTCAGCCTCCCAAAGTTCTGGGATTACGGGTGTGAGCCACCATGCCTGGCCAACTTCTTTATTTTCTATCTCCCAGAACTAGAATAGAATTCTGTGTGGGCAGGATCTTTGTCTGATCGTCCTCTCTTTTATCCTCAGTTATAACTATGTATGATGCATGATAGGGGCTCATTCAATATTTGTTTAATGACTCAACAAAGGAACAACAGCTTGGACCATAGGATAGAATTAGCTCATTTAATGTAGGGGTTGAAAGAATTTGGGGGATGAATAGAATCAGCTCGCATCACTTGGACCTGCGTCTGTTGGCAGCAAGACACAGATAGTGGGGCCTGTACCAATTGATGGATTTCAGAACTCAGGCATGTTGTCGGTCCTGAGGCTCCTAACTTGGAGACTGGGGGAGGAGAAACAAGAGATGATGGGATATCCATTGCACAATGAATGATATAAAGAGTGGATTCTGAACAATCTGGTCAATAGAATTCTTGGAAGAAGTGAGTCACCAACCAGTGACGAGTTCTGAATGTTTGTGGAGCAATGAGTCTCTCAGGGTTATAATCACATATCTTATTATATTTCCTCCTGTTTGACAGCCTTAGAGAGAAGGGTCATCTGGAAGTATAGAGAGGTCCTCTGCCATTCAAAATCCTTTCTCAAAGAGTACTGAAAAACAGGACTTTCATCACCCCAGGCTGGCTTACTGTGTAAAACAGGCTGTCTCTTCATAGAATTATTTCCTTAGGTCCTTGGGGCCTTTATTTTCTATTATTCTACTGTGTTATCACTTCCCTTTTTTTTTTCCTTTTCTTTTATATTTTTTTAGAGGCAGGGTCTTTCTCTGTTGCCCAGACTGGAGTGCCGTGGTGTGATTGTGGCTTACTACAATCTCGAACGCCTGGGTTCTAGTGATCCTCCTGCCTCAGCCTCCCAGTTAGCTAGGATGACAGTCATCCACCGCCATCCCTAGCTGATTTTTAAAAAACTTTCCTGTAGAGACAGAATCCTCCTGTGTTGCCCAGGCTGGTCTTAAACTCTTGGCCTCAAGCAATCCTCCCACTTCAGCCTCTCAAAGTGCTGGGATGACAGGTGCAAGCCATCATGCCCAACCTCCCTGTCTTGTTTTTAAAATAAACTCTGTAGTACCTAGAGAGTGTTTTATTTCTTTATCTTAAAACATTAATAAACCAAGCAGTTCACAAAACAATCCTCTTCGTTAAAGCAAAATGATAACACTAACCATAACCATAATTCTAATAATAAAAATCTGGAAAATTGAATCCCTGCCAATTGCCACTTATCAACTATATTTTATTTTATTATTTTATTTTTCTCACCAACCATATTTTAAATGCTGAGATATTCTCAAGCATCAGGGGCATGGAAACTTTTTGTGCCAAAATATCCCCTGGAAATATATATGGAGGACATAACATGTGTTCCAACATGAAGGATGGATTAAATAGATTGTAATACATTGAATCCAGCAAATATTGCCTAGTTCTGAATACTCTGGAGCAACATGAGGTGCTGTTTATAGTATCAGTGGTAAGTGCAGGTTACAAAGTGTAGAATCCCACAGTGCTTAACTACTATGTAAAAGGCACTAATGAGAAAAGACTCAAAAGGAAGGCAGAAAAAGTCTAATGGCAAATGCTGGATGACATTTTGGGGCTGTTGAAAATATGGGTGACTTTATGTCTGTTCTATTACCAAAACTTTTAAATGTGGGTATAGCACTTCTATTAAAAAAAAAAACAAAACTGAGGATGATTTCTTGTAAAAGCAAAATCATTCTTCTAAAGTGCTCACAGTCAGGTCGGATGGCTGACCAGAATACCAAACTCCATTATGAGTTCCATTTTTAGCTCTGTTATCAAATTCTGATGTAAAACCAACTATGACATAATCATGGTAATAAGCAACATTTGTATACCATTTTACAATTTTCCAAGGGCATTTTCATGAGCGGTCATATTTAATCCACACAACAACATGGTGAGATTTAAGAATTATTGGACTGGGTGAGACCTATGATTGTTTCTGCTTCGTGGCTTGTTTATCCTTCTCTGCTTGGCGTTTTCCTACACCAGAGCTTAAAAGTACTTTGTATATTTAGACATTTAACTATAAATCGCTTTCAGATGATGTATAAACTCTTTAAATATGCCTAGTGTCAGCAATGATTCTTGGGAAATATTTCCTTAAGAGATGTGGTAAATTTCCCTACTTCTTGTTACTTTCCTTCTCCTCCCCTCCCCTCTCTTGTCCCCAGTTGCTGATCCACAATGAAAGAGCCTCTTTTTCTACATTTGTTAGTGCTGTAGTTTCCTCACTCCCTAGTTCAGCCAGGTCTGAGTTCCTGTCCCACAACCAAGAAGAATAAGGTATGCAGACACCAGAGAGTGAGTAAGGCAGAGTAGGATTTATTAAGTGACAGAAAAGCTCTCAACAGCAAGAGGGGACCTCAAAGTGGGTTGCCAGGAATGGGGCAAAGTTCTGGGTCTTGTATGTGGCAGAAACAAGGAAGTTTTCTTTGGATTCTGCCTTAATGAAAGGGGTAAAATTCCCCCCTGGGAATGCTGCACCTGTACATGGTTGGGGTTGGCCATAGTAACTCCATCTTGGTTATTACCTATGAATGCCTAAGCAAAATCCCCTGGGGGGTGGGCACGAAAACCACAATGCTAATGTTTGTTAATGATATTGTAATGAGCTGGGTTAAGGACATTTCCATTGATTTATTGTGCCTGTGCCTAAGTTGAGACAGTCCCTTCTGAGCAAACGTCCTGGCATAAGAGGAAGTTCTTAACTACATTTCACCCCACGAGCTACTTAACAGGTGTGGTGCAGGTGCGGTCCCATGGGTGTTTTTCTTCTCCCAAAACTCTCCCTCTCTATCTTCCTACCCAGTCTCTGACTGCCTCCTCTTTCATTATAAGTTCCTTGATATCTGGAGGTAGCACAGGGCTAGGAATGTTCATGTGCCCAATGACCAGTCATCAGTAAAAGCCTCCAGAAGCCTTATCCAGGCATCTGGAAACCTGGGTCTCTTTCTGAGGGAATCTCCGTTTTCATCTGTGATTTCACTCAGCTGAGTTCCTTAGCTTCCATGTTATTCATTCATGCTTATTTGAACAACTTGACTTAAAAAAATTCTTTTAATTTCATAAAGTGTTACTATATTATCCTCTGTGAAAAACAAAACAAAATAAAACAGAATATTAGACAGCGCTAAAATTCCCACTGATCTCCTATATCTAATTCCAGTTCCCACTCCATCCCCAAACATGACTACTGTTAACAATTTATAGTATAATGTATCAGACCATCTCCTACCTGCTGGCAAATATATGGCTGCCGAAAATGCACCACATACAATATAATTATTGTGTATATTGTATATTATTGTTCATATTGAGTGTGTGTACTTAAGAAAGTTATACTAGCCATGTAATTTGATAAATTGCTTTTCCCCCCCTTTCTCAATAATGTATCTTGGAAGTATTTACATGTTAATGCATTTTTCGTGATTGCATAATGTTCCATAGATGACTACACCAGAGTTTATTTAGTCAGTCCACTAGTACCGAATTTGGTTCCCAGGCTTTTGCCATGATGAACACACTGTAGTTAACTTCTCATTATACACCTTCTTTTGTACCTGGGTGTTTCCTTTGGTATACTCTGAAAATAGTAATTGCTGCATCACAGTAAATATGTGTCATAATTTTTAAAAGATAATGCCAAGGTGCTTCTCAAAGCAGTCAGTACAATTTCTACTCCTGCAATGTCTTCGCCAACTTTTGTTATCAACAACTTGGTTTTTCTGTGCTGCAAAATTTATTCAGTCTGTGATACCACTGCAGTTGATTTTGGGATTGTAATGAAATGAGATCATATACCTTGGCACTCTACTTGCCTACTGCCCATTTTCCAAACCTCAGTTTCTCCATGTTGCCATCATGCCCATGTGTAACAACCCACCATTCCATTCCACTTTCATTCAGATACAGGCTTCCATCTTTTGACCAAAATGAACTTAGCTTATTGATTATTTACTGAATTCACTTTTTCATTTCACAAATATTACATGAATGATGGATTCCCTTTTTCCCTAGCACCCATTCAAAATGAAGTGATCATTCTGTCCTACCCATGGTCCCTTTTGTTACCAGATCCCAATTCTAGTCACTCCCAAAGGAAATCCAGACAGTCTTTGCTTAATACTATGAAGAGGCTTAAACAGTATGTTCTGCCGCCAGCCACTCTTTCTGCCGTTCAAGAAACTCTCATTTCTTGTGCATCGATTTTGAAGGTGATGGTATAGACAACCTGTCGAGAGAGTTTGCAACATCCAGATGTTTTCATCCTCTTCCAATTACAGGAGGCTTTTGGATTGTAAAATTACAGTGCAGATGTTGAGGGACACGGGATGAACACTTGTCACAGAGATTGGCCATATTGCAGTGTGTTAAGGTCATATTTCCTGGTGGGTAGTAACAGATTGATAATGCATTCACACCACACTGCTGCTTTGTGAGAGATCTGTCTTGGCAAAGTCTCAGAGAAATCAAGGGGGAGTTGAAAGGGCTGATGTAAGGAAGAAGGATTAGTTATGTTCTTGTGTGCTTTGGGCAACCAGAATAATCCATTGTCCTCTCTGCTATCTAAGCTGTCATCCCACAGCATCCTTTCACTCCACAGGTTTCACTGAGCATCAGCAATGCGCCAGGGAGTGTGCAAATGCCGTGGATACAAAGACAAGGGGAGAAAAGGATCCTGTAGCTGCTCTCAGGAAGCAGACGATTTAGTGGCAGACATGGATGCAAATCAAATTTTATGCACAAATGTGAAATTGCAAGTGCCCTAAGTGAAATGTAACAGAAGTGTATGGTGCGAAGAGCATAGGTAACAGGGGCAATTTACTTAACCAAACAGATCGGGAAAGGCTTCTGGGAGGAAGTTACAATGCAAGTGAGAGGTAAGTAGGCAAAGAGTTAGTGGAAAAAAAAATCACTTCTAGCAGCAAGGAAGGCAGGTGCAAAAGTCCTGTGGCAACAAGGTAGTGCACACTCAAGGAACTGAACGGCAGTGTGACTGGGAGCAGCAGGCAAGGGAAAGCATAACACCCAATGTCCCAATGTGGTTGGGGAGCTGAGCAGAGGGGCCTTGGATTCTGTGAAGGGTTTGGGGTTTTGTCCTAAGAACAATGGAATACATTAGAAAGGTATTAAGCAAGTGTGTGTGGTGATGGGGAATGGAGGTAATGACTCCATTTATATTTTGAAAAGATGAATCTGATTGCAACGTAGGAAATCAAAGGCATATCATTTCATGGTACTCCATAAAAGCATTTGAAGGCTTTCCATTGCTATCAGGATGAAATTAAAAATCTTTAACATTGTTTTTAGGACATGACCCAATATGGCTAATGTTAACTTTAAATCCTCATCTCAGAAAATGCTCCATTATCCATGTCATGCCCAGCAAGTCTAACAACTTGTTGTATTAATCAATGATTGCTCTGATAATGCTGTGTAACAACCCCCACAAAAACTCCAAATCTCAGTGGCCCACACAAGCATTCATTTTTTCTCCTTCACGAGTCTGTGAGTTGGCTCAGGAAGTGCTGCTTCTGATTGTGGACTGCGTTCAGGTCTCATTTATTTGTTTCTTATTCTGGAATCCATGCAGTCACCCAGGTCATTTTTAGTTTTATTTTTTTTTAAACGCAAAATCACAAGTATGAACAGCTAAGCCAAACCACAAATGCCCATTTATAGTTTCTGCTCACGTCACCTTTGTTAGCGTTTCATTGGCTAAAGCAAGCCCTGTTTCAGTGCAGTGGGAAGTACAGTGTTTTTGGAAAAAGAGAGGAAGGATGGAAGAATTTTGAATTAATGATACAACCAATTGCACTTGCTCTTACTTAAATCATAGTATATGTGGGTGGTCAAGTGTAATATTTAGGAGTGCAGGCTTTGAGGCAATGCTTTGTGGCTTTGAGTCCTGGCTTTAAAACTTCCCAGCTGTGCAGGTATGGGCAAATAATTAATCTTCTGGTACATCAGTTTCATGATCTATGCAAAAAAAAAGGTAATACCAGTGCCTACCTCCATCAGGAGGATTAATTTGGTTAAGTGCTTTGAGAAGTGCCTGGAATATAAGTGCTTAGTAAATATTAGGTGGTATTAATATACATTCATATCTTCTTATTTTAACCCAGACATGTTTTGAAAGTTTGAACTATTCCTACTTTAGAAAGTCAATGAGGTACATGCACCATATAATACGGAACAGCTCCGACAGTCTTAAGGTGTCAAACCCAGGTCTTTATCCTTCTTCAGCTTGAGACGGTGCAACAGCTACTGACCTGATTCTGAGGCAACAGCCCACAACCAGACTCTTGTATATTCTGCCATGAAACATGGTCATTCAAAATGGGAAAATAAAACATCATACAAAATAAAAAATGGGAAAATAAAATTTGTATACATGTTTAAATCAGAACAGCTCTGGTTAGGGACAAAAACTAGTTATATATAATTTTTTTTTCCAGAGCATTTTGGATTTTAGGCTTCTGGATGAAGTTGTTGGCTGGTGTTAGCTTTGTAATGTGCTGGGGCCATGCATCTTCCCCTGTGTGTGTTCTCCTCTTGAAATGCCCTCTGGATCTCTCTTCATGTATAAATTCCGGTCATACATGGTCCCCGCATCACTGCTTTCCTTGAACATCTCTCATCCCCCAAGCTGGAAATAATTTCTCCTGTTGCTGCATTCTCACACTGTTGATCAGTCTGTACCCCCTTGTTCTAATTACTTGTATTGATTCTTGAGTTTAGGTATGGTGTAAAACTCCAGGCATTCCATAAAATGTTCTTTGACTCTGATACTAAATGCCACTATCACCTAGTTTCTTTTCTTATGTCTAGTACTGATGGCTGCTACAGTCGTCACCATCGTGGTACCTACTGAGCACTTACAGTGGTGTCATCACTGTAAGGAGCACTGACGCTCATCACCTGACCTGACTTCCATGGCTCTGTGCAGCAATGCTGTGGTTAGGCTTATTTTACAGATGAGGAGACTGAAGGAAAGCAAGACTTAATATCTTGCCAATTCATGAATTGTGGAGTCTGAGGATGATAGCATTGAACTAACAGTCAGCCCAGGGACTTTGTAGATGATATTTAATACCCCCTTAGATGCAGAACAGCTGGGTTGCACTGCTTTTTGGAGCAAGTGTCATCTGGTAATGCATTTTTTAAAAAAGTATTTTTAGTTTTTGTGGGTACATAGTAGGTGTACGTATTTATGGGGTAAAAGAGATGTTTTGATAAAAGCATGCAGTATGTTTATTACACATTGTGGAGGATGGGGTATCCAACCCCTCAAGCATTTATCCTTCAAGTTACAAACAATCCAATTACCCTCTTTAAGTTATTTTAAAATGTACAATTAATTTATCATGACTATAGTCATTCTATGGTGCTCTCAAATACTAGGTATTTTTCATTCCTTCTAACTATTTTTGGTGCCCATTAACCATCCCCACCTTATCCCCACAACAGCCCCACCATACCCCCACAACAGCTCCACCACTACCCTTCCCAGCCTCTGGTAACCTCCTTCTACTCTCTATGTCCATGAGGTCTAGTGATGTTTTTGAATGAACAAATGAATGTTCTTTTCCACTGGGGACCTTTCTTTTATGGCATCTGTGTGTCAGAGGAAACCAGAACTGGACAGAGGTTGAAGTGGTGAAGGCAGTTTTGATTTGGGAACTATTGCAATAGGGGAAGAGAGACTTCAGTGTAGAATTGGGCTTTATTATGGCTACAGCAGAGAGAAGTGGAGATTTGTGGCCAAGGAGCAAGGTGAGGGGTCAATGAAGGATCATGAATAAGGGGGATTCTGGCTAAACGGACTCAGCAGGATTCTTGTTGAGGGTGGGACAGGGTGATTGGATATCAAGGATGGGGGATAAGGAATTTGATCACATATCAAGGGTGGAGGATTTTCACTAAACTGACCAAGCAGGATTCTTGCTAAAACTAGACTAAATGGGTCAAGGACAGAGCCCCAAGGCAAGCCTACTGAAAAATGGAGCTCAGAGGATGCTAGCCGAAGTTTGTTGAAGGAGAAAATCTTGTCCCTTGGAGACGGTCATCAGGGTCTCCTTGAACAGCCCCAGTGCACCCAGTACCTCCTAGTGCACACCCCTTGCAGAAGGACAGTTCAGATTGAGAATGCTTCACAAATTCACAAATTACCTGTGTTGTGCCAGCTTGTGACAGCTATTCCCTGACCCAAATTTTGGAGAAGGACAGCTTTGGCATCAGTGAGGGCAGTGGGCTGGAGGAAAAAAAAATGGAGACTATCAAGGGACACAGACTTATCAATGTCCAGTTAGATGACACATCTGCTCCCTGACCTTGAGTGGTCCTTTGGCCTGGGTCTTCATCTGCCTTCTTTTCCATAGCTTACTCCCATCAACACACTCAGAGACATGACATCACTCCAGTGTTAACTCCTGTAAATGAACAGAGACTGGATCTTAGTTATTTTTGTGCTTTCCCTCCCCAGAATTATTATAGGGCCTGGCTCACAGGGTACACTCAGGCAATGATGATTATTTCTTTAAATGAATAATTCATTCATTGGATGGATGGATAGATCTTTGGATGAATGGATGGTCGGATGGATGAATGAATAGATGAATGAATGAATGGTGACTGTCAGACTGCTTGTTTGATGCCATACAGATCTAACTATTTTTTGCCTGAAATGTTTATTTTCAACCAGTTCTGTTGAGTCATTTCAAACACCTGAGACAGTAGCTTTTGCACCATCTCAAGCTGAAGAGGATAAAGATCTAGGTTTGACACCTGGAGACTGCATTCCTGAGCCCAGTAGGTAAAAGAGCATCGACTTCGACTTCGGAGTCCCACAGACTTGCACAGCATGTTGCATTGATCAGCTGAGCTTGAGTTCCTTCATCTGCAAAGTAAATGCAATAAGCCCCACCTTCTGGGGTTGTCATGAGGATTAAGTCAAATAACATATGTGATGCCCCTTGACCAAGGCTCAGCATGGGATGGGCACTCCAGGATGCCAGCTTTGATCACTCTTCCTATTATTATTGAAAACACAGCCTGTGGATCAACTCCTCGGTCCACACCCCACTGGGCACTCCTTGTCCTAAACAGCATGTAGACTCCCAGCTTTGTAGGAAGCAGGGATTATATCCAGGGGCACCCCACTGGGTCTTGAAATTAATCCTTCCTTCTGTAAACACTGACCTCTACCTGCTGCTAGGGCATAGGCCTCCTAGCATCATTTGGTGCTGGGCGGAACTGGAAGCTGAGAGGGGATTTAGATCAGAGGCTGAAGTCAGCAGCAGGTATTCCTAGATGAGGCCCAAAGCAATGAATATGCAGCAGGCCAGCCTGCAGCCACTGCCAGTTTTTCCAAAGGGAAGTTGACCTTGGTTTGGTGTCCCTGCTCATCCTCTGCAGAATGCACAGTGCATAGAAACTGGAGTTAGGCAACCTTGGGTGTGAGTTCCTTCTACAACCGGGTGGATATTGGGTGCATCACTTAACCTCTCTTGAGTTTTGGTTCCGTTACCTATGAAATGGAGATAATAATACATTCCTAAATGTGTCTTCATGAAGATACAAGATACTAAAACACTAACACATTATACTAATTGCAGGAACTGTCACCTGGTACTATACACCCAAATGGCAATTTAAAGAATGTCCAACCTACTTAGCAAAGCCCATGCATCCTATCTGTATCCCACTTTGCTTTCTACTCTCTATGTTGCAGACATCAGTACTTCAGTCCTTGGGGTTGAGGTGTGCGAGCCCCAAACTATACTCCAGTTGTCTTCTTGCTGCTTTATAACTAAAACAATTCACTGCCATATCCTTTAGCAGCTTTTTAAGTGGGAAAGAAAACTAGGGCTCCTGAGCACCAGTTTTCCCAGGCATTTTTCTAGACCCTAGACCAAGAGTTGGCAAACTATAGTCTGTGAGTCACATTTAGTCTGCCACCTGATTTTGTACAGCCCGCGAGCTAAGAATGATTTTTACATTTCTAAATGGTTGAAAACCACCATGGCACCTATTTACCTATGTAACAAACCTGCGCATCCTGCTCAGGTACCCCAGAACTTAAAAAAAAAGAATTAAATCAAAAAGTAAAAGGAAAAAAAAAGAAAAAGAATATTTTGTGGTACATAAACATGAAAATCATATAAAACTCATACTTCATTGTCCATAAATGAAATATTGTTAGAACACATTCACGCCCAGTTGTTTATGTAGTCGTGTCTGTGGCTGCATTTGAGCCACAATGACAGAGCTGAGTAGTGGTAGCAGAGACAGCATGGGTCATAAAGCTGGAAAGATTTATTGTCTGATCCTTTACAGAAAAAGTTTTCCAGGCTCAGTCCAAGGGCACGCTTTCATTTAGGTCATTCAGTGTAAGTAATGGTCCTTCCCATGGGGCGCAAGAGTCCAGGGCCTCGAAACAGTGACTGTTCAGTTGGTTTCCTCCAGGAAAGAAATGGACTGATATTGGGGGCTATGCAGTCTCTGACCTTGAACATTTTTAGATGATGGCCATGTGGCCACAGGTAGGCAACTCCATCAAGGGGATTCAAGCATCTGATTGGACAGGATCATCTCTTAAGTCCTGGTGTTTTTATGAGCTCTTAACTTCTCTCAGTCTCAGTTTCTTCATTTGTAAGAAGGAAATTATAACAGCACTTACCTCAAGGGTTATTGTGAGGCTTGAGTGGCTTAAGCATCACAGGTACTCAGCACAGGGCCTGACACATAAAAAGAATTTAAATATGCATTATTATTAATATTGTTATTACTATCATTTTCAGTCTGTCTCCTGCCTGCCATGTGAGCAAGGGTGAGTTATCCCATCCACCAAAGCCTCAGTTTCTTCATCTTTAAAACGGTGCCAATCACGAAACCCACCTCATACAGGGCTTGGGAATTTTAAATGTCTTCATGGATAGTGCATTTCTGCATGCAGTAAGCATTCAGCAGATGCTTCCTTAAACCTCCCCACTTCCCTGCGACACTGAAATTCTATGAGTTTGCAGTGTCCTTGGAGCTTCCCAGTGTGGCTTTCACCTCTGGACCCTTCATTTGTCACAAGCCATGTGCCATCCTACATCTTTCCAATGCATCTGTCACGCCTCTGTGTGAATCATCTAGACCTTTTGAGGGTTAGGTTTTTGTAAGGCCCTTCTTAGTTATCTAAAATTAAGGTGAAGTAACAGCCAGCTCCAGTGACTTTAATATACAAATTGCATCCTGGCACGGTTTGATGTAGCTGAGCCCTGGCTTGTCTCCCAGGATTGGAGAGACTGAGTAAGTTATGCTTAGCTTGTGTCGAGGAGCAGGTGGGGAGGCAGGCACCAAGGTGTGATGGCTTCAGGGGCTGCCAGGGAAGATCTTTGTGAAATGCTATTTATGCTTCATCAGGAACCCAAACAACTGCTCATAAGTCCTCAGCCTATTCCACAAAGCTTTGGCCTATTTCTTGAACACTGACGAGCTGACTTATTATAGCCATTATCTCCTTCCTTAGTACTAGAAAACCTGACCTCACAGGGCCTGTGACCATTCAGAATAAGAACTACATCTTCTAGCATCCTTTGCTACCCAGTGAGGCCATGTAAGTTCTGCCCAATAGGGTATAAACAAAGGTATCCTGGGAAACTCCCTAAAAATGTTCTTTAAAGGGAGGGGACCCACTCCTTTTAATTGCTTTGTCTGTCCTCCTGGGTGGAATGTGGATGAGATGGGTGGAACATGAGTGGCCATCTTAGGCCATGTCATAGATTGGATTCCCTCTGAAGAGCAGACTCTAGAGCTTTAAGACCAAGTGATTTATTTGCCAAGTGGTTCCGGGAAGCATTGGTAAGGTCAGGAGTGAGAAAGTGAAACAAGAAGGGAAGGATGCCAATTATGGGTATGTTCATGAAGAAATTATATTGGATTCTTCCTGCTGGGGAACTCTGGCAAACTGTGCAGCACGTACTTCAGAATTGTCCACCTTGAAAGGTGAGGGAGCTGGGGTATTTATACACCCAGTTCTGTCTACCATTGATTGAGGGGTGCTCCTGGGGGTGCTACCTCCCTGGCACGTCCAGTTTGCTTTTTGTGGACTGAACATCCAGCTCAGCACAGAAAGGGGAAGAGTCTCAGGTGCTTGCAAAAAGGAGCTGTCTGAATGTTTAGAAATGGTGAATACTTAGGGGATATAGGAGAACTGGCAGCAATTGCTACAGACCAAGAGGTTGAGCATGCAGAGCAAAATAAAAGAGGGTGCTTTGCTCCTTGCTGACTGTCAGACCATCACCCCAGGCTTGGATGGCTTATCTTTAGACTTTGTGTCAAAGAAAAAAAATTATCTTTTTAAAAGCCATTGTTCGGTTTTCTGTCACTCAAAGCCAAACCTAATCCCAAATGCTCTATCACATAGTAATAATGATAGTAAAGGCAACTAGCTTGAATCTGCTTACCTGTTTATTATCCTTCTTTCTCCTCCCTTTCTACCCCTGCCAAAGGTGAGCTTTACAACAGAAGAGACAGAATCGTTTCTAGCTGCTTGATCACACTGCCCACTCCTTAATAGGGTGTCTGATACATGGAAACCACTCAGAAAATATGTATTAATAAATGAATAAATAAGCAACAAAAGAACAAAATATAAAAGAAAAAAAGCCAAGATTTAATGCTGATCTGTCTGATTCCAGTTTTTCACCTCTTAACCACTATGTTATGGTGAAAATTTAGAAATCTTATTCTGTAATTAGTTGAAAGAACCCAGTAAAAGTGAAGCATCCCAAATCCAAAACTCCAAAATCCAAAATGCTTCAAAATCTGAAACTTTTTGAGCACTAAGGTGACTCTCAAGGGAAATGCTCTTTAGAGCATTTTGGAGTTCAGAATTTTGGATTTGGGATGCTTGGCTGGTAAGTATAATGGAAGTATTCCAAAAAAAAAAAAAAAAAATCTGAACTACTTCTTATCCCAGTCGTTTCATATAAGAGATTCTCAACCTGTCTAATGCCAGAGAGCCTGAGTCTTGGCAAAGACAGAAGCCTGGGATGAGAGGGACCAATGAATATGCTTATGAAATAATTTTTATAAAAAGTCAACATAAAGAGTTGAGTTAGAGACTTGAAACAAAGGTCAGTGGCAGCTTTTCACCTAGAAGCTCTGTAAAGGTCAGTGCTAACCGAGAGAATGGGTGGTCCTCTGCAGGCTATTGGTGTCTAGCAGGGTGACTCTGGGAACAAGATATTTCTGTAAACTCTACTACATCCCTCCCTTGTCACTCAAAGCTCCTCATGAGTTGCTGAATCTGTGACCAGAAAACCTTATAGGTACCCTGGACCTCTGGTGCAGTGGCATTTACCCTACAATTGTTCAAAGAGAGGCTAGTTGGCAATGGGTCAGGGATGCTGTAGAGGGATATGTCTCTAGGCTAGGAGACAAGACAAGACAGCCTCTGCAGAATGTCCTAAAGGTGTAATAAACCTCATCAGTTGCTTTATAGCCTTCAGAATGAGTTTCTAATCCACAATTGGCAAGCACCTTTTTTTTCTTAGTGCAAGTTTTCATTCCTGACAGTTGGTCTCCGGGAAACCCATAAAAGTCTAGAGTTTTAAGCAATTGCCTTTACTGCTAACACTACCAGTGAATTTCCCAGTAGGAACCTTTATGATAGTTCTGCAAATATATGAGTATGCAAATTATATGGATCTGTGGGCATCTTGCTAACCCCCATGCTCTGAGAGCTTGACCGCAAGTTTCTCAGTGGCATCTGTGTTCCCAGGGAACTTCAAATAATATAATATAATTCATGTATTCATTCAACAAGCATTTATAGGAGTGGTTAGTGTGTTTTAGGCACTAGATGGTAGAAAATGATACCAATGTGAGTAAGACATGGTCCTGTAGCTTGCAGTGTTTTGGGAGAAATACGCTCAATTATATTACAATGTGATGTACACTTTTATTTTTTTTTAAGTGGGAGTCTTGCTCTGTCTCCCAGGTTGGAGTGCAGTGGTGCGATCTTGCGACATTGTTCACTGCAACCTCTGCCTCCCGGTTCAAGCAATTCTCCTGCCTCAGCCTCCCAAAGCAGCTGGGATTACAAGTGCCTGCCACCATGCCTGGCTAATTATTTTGTATTTTAGTTGAGATGAGTTTCACAATGGTAGGTCAAGCTGGTCTCGACTCCTGACCTCAAATGATCCGCCCGCCTCAGCCTCCCAAAGTGCTGGATTATAGTGTGAGCCACGTGGCCAGCCAATGTTGTACTTTTTAAAGGTATGCAGAGAAAAGAGTGACTAATGTTCACCTGAAATTTCGAGAAGCATCCTTTAATCTTATACTTCAAACAACATGAAACATTGTTCGCCATTTTCCAAATGCCTCCTGCTTCGTTCATATTGGATCCCTCGCCCTAGACACCTTCTCTTCACTGCTGTCTCAGCAAAGTTTTATTCATACCTCAAGGCTACAGCAGCCCATGTTGGTACCTACCCAAAAGTTGTTCTTGTTTGCTCGATAATGTTGATGAATCTTGTTTAGGGGACAAACAGCGATGCCACTTTTTACCCACTACGTTCTATTCAACCTGTACTCAAAGTCCAGGCCAGGCAGTAGTAACCAGGGCAAGAGAAAGAAGTAAAGGGCATTCCAAATTGAAAAGAGGAAGTCAAACTACTCCTATTGTCACAATAAGTATAGATTTTATACCTTAAAAAACATCAAACAGATTACCCAAAAGAATACTGCATCAACATTTGATAAATGAGACTTCCCAGCAATCCAAAGTCTAATGTATTGACAAATCATAACTTTTTTATGCTTTTATATGGCTGCCACTGCGGCGACAATAAAATAACTCAGCATGGGGAGAGAAAAAAGAAAATGACGGGTTGCTGTTGAGCTCTGTGATCTGGAGACAAGAAGAGTCACTACAACATTTCCAGGGGAGAGAAGATCAGAGCAAGAGAAGAGTTGGATGAATGGCAGGGGAACCCAGCGCGAGGGCCTGGAGAATCGATGCTCAATTTTGTGTCCACAGCGGCTGTCCAACAGTTCTTGTCACTGATGGTTTTCACAAAAGGCCTTCTGATGTCCTCGCTTTAGAAAACCATCCCCCATGTCTCAGTCTCACAAAGCTACAGCACCAGCTTGACCCCGTGCCCTGCCTAACTTCTCTGGCAAAGGCCGAGTGAAGGAAAATAGTTGTATGTATTCAGAGCAGTGGACTACATTACGCGGCACAGATTTGTTTAAGTTAAATTTTATCTCAGCAGTGAATAGCCTATGAAAGTCAGTGAACCTTCCATAGCCTTCTGTCTGCTTCTTTGTTTTGTTTTTTTTTTTTTGCAGACGGAGTTTCGCTCTTGTTTGCACTTAGGTCAAGGAATTGTCTTTGCAATGGGCCGATCTCCACTCACTGCACAACCTCTGCCTCTTGGATTCAAGCATTCATCCTTCTGGTAGCCTGTAGGCTGGAGATTACAGGACACTGCCACCAACGCCTAACACTCATTTTTTGTAATTTTTAGTAGGATGATGGCGGTTTCACCGTGTTGGCCAAGAGCTGGTCTTGAATCCTAGAACCATCAAGGTGAATTGCACCGCCTAGAGCCTCAACCAAAAATGACATGGCACTACAGCA